TAAATTTTATTAGAACAAGATATTATGGGGATTTCCAAGAATTTCGCAAGATTAAAGTGTATGGAGTACAAATTTATAGTAAGTATTATGAGCTGGACAAAGTTGTATGTTTAAAACATATATTAATCACATGATTTTGTTTTGTCTATAGATAATTTTTTTTATATATACAGCTTATCGTTACCTTTCTCCGGAGTTTATTATTTCAAGCAAGAATTTATGTTCGATTGTCCAACAATTACCTTACTTACCTCTAAAGCATTACCGAAATTCTTAGACAACTTATGGAGAATACGAGTAGATATTTGACATTTTTGTGAATGTTAGTGTATTTAACGCAACTGATACTGATAATTTGAATTTATTAGGAAATTATTTCTTCAAGTGCTGAAAGTATCACTTCGTATATCGAAAATATGAGAGAATCAGACGACGATAGTAACGATACTGATCCGGTAACAATCTCGCCGAAAAAACAAAGACGACAAAAGTAGATAATCAGAAATTTTTATTGGTTAATGCCATCATGTATTAGTTTAGTATATTACGTAATAAAGCCTTTACCGATACAAGACAATTAGATTTCTGCATAATACTTTCGCGATTATTCCCAAAAAAATGCCATGTTATATTATACTTTATTTAGCATATGCAATCGTTCCTGAAGTGCCACAAATCTCGGTTGGTGCATACGGCTATAAATCATTCGCGCCAAATTTATCCGAATCCAAGTGAAGATTGGATCCATATTTTTTTATAAATGCCGTACATGCTTGTGCGACATATTAACTTCTATAATTCTGGAATGTAACAATTTTTTATCCAAGCCTAATATCACTATAAAAGCGCTATGTCTGAATCTAAAAATTTTTCTTCGTTCGCTAAGGAGAACAATAATTTCTGAACTATTTATTTTCATATAAACGGAAAAAATTAGTGAGAGGACGATTTTGATAAAATGCTCATGGAGGCTTTCGAGGAGAATGAGGCTTGGATAGTGAAAGAAAGACAGAATAAAATGTAGTAACTCCAGCTAATGCAGAGGATCCATATCGACTAGCCAAAGGTGCTGTGCATGATGATGTATATTTGATGAAGAATTTGATTATGATTCCTCACTTTAGTTAGTGAAAGGAACGAATGTAGAGGTTGCTTTGCAATCAGATAAGGCCGATGATGAGAAATATTTTGATGAAACGGATGATAACGATTCTAGTGATTCTGAAGAAGAGATGTCAGATGAAACAGATGATGATGGATACGGTGGATATGATAGAGGTTATTATTATCGTAACGGAAGATACGAAAGGAAAGTCTCACCAATGATGAGTCCTATTATATCTCCAGTATCTGGCCTCCTTCGGTCAAGACCTTCAGGAGATAGCGTATCTTGATAGGTAGGTTATCTTTTTTCGAATAAATATGAGAAAAAAGGCTGAATCGGGATCAGCAAATTAATAGACATCAGAGTTACCATATTTATTTCATGTTTTGCGACGATCGTAGCATCCGGTTCCGCAGTATTACGTTTCGCAAAATCGATCTACGATTTCTAATCCATGATGTGGCACAGCAAATCTTCCCAACTGTCAAGGCTATTTCGGATTCCTGTGATCCAAATATTTCATACTTTGGCTTGTTTTGAAGCTTTCGATATTCTGCATCTGGACGAACTAAGTTGGCGTTTCTATGACATCTGGATCACGTTTCGTAGACGGTTGAAGTTTCAATTCTTATATAGTGCTAATAATACATTTTGGGACTTACTGGGTAACTATGAATTCTTGCATAACAACCTATCAATTTCTCGCCTCCTTTAGGTTCCCAGAACCGGAAACTAGTATTTTGTAGGTTGCCAGGTCACTAACATTTCACACGCCACTTTGGCAATGTGGTCCTCTCCAAGATTCTTTCGCAGTTATATCCAAAATAATTGGCTTTACAATTTTCTGAATAACTACGCATCCAGTGATCTGAATTTCACAAATTTTGAGATAATAGAAGTTCAGAACCGGCCGAATCCAGTCGTTCAATCCTCATCAAAATTGGGTCATTGGTTGACGAGATATTCGCGTTCTAAATCCGTTACGG